TTGTGTTGTGGTGGGGCGACCTCGGCGCTCTTGCTGCTTCCCTTTGGTCGGCCCTCGGAGGGTTCCCCTCGTCCCTCCAGGCTGCGTAGCCGTCGCCCTGCCTTGCAGGAGGAGCGCTGGCTGTGAGCGCTGGGTCAGCTGGGGGCGCGGGCTTCGTTTGGGCTCCCTGCCTCAGTTTACCTCCAGCAGAGCAATTGCTGGCTCCGTGGGGGAGGATCTGCAAAACCGAAAGTGATAAGCTGGGAGAAGCTGGACCCGTTTGCCGGGACCGGGACACGGTCCCGCGCCGCTGACCTCTTTTTTTCGCTCACCCCAGGCAAGTAACTTCTCTCCCTGTCTTTGCAAAAACAAAACAAATGCTGAGTGCGCTGGTTTGTTGTTTTGGGTTTTTTTTTTTTCCTAACTGCTCTCACCAGGATAACGGCAACCTAAACTAAAACCCCGGCTGCAGACGGTTTGTCTGTCCGGGAGGTTGTTCTTTGTGCCGACCCCCTCTGAGCGGGAGGATCTGCTGCTCCTCGAGCAAGATTTAGAGGCGCGGGGCTGCCGCCTCCTTTCAAAGCGAGGACGCAGCCGCCGCCGCGGCGTTCGCTGCCGGGACCTGGCGAGGGCTCCCGGCACATCGGTTTGAGATGGGGCGGTCGTCCTCGGTGAAGCTGCTGCGTCTTCTCGCTTTGGCAGCAAGCTGGAACCTCCCGGGGAGCGGGCAGAGGCGGCGCGGGCTTCGCTCCCTGCCTGCACGCCCTGATGCGTGGGCGCCCTGAGCAGGGACGGCACCTCGACAGGTCGCCTCCGGCCCTTTTGGGGTGGTCGGGGGCTGCCTCCGTGTCGGCAGGAGCCCGTAGTCTTAATGGGAGGCTGGGTCCTCGACGGGGCTCGCGCTGGGTTGATTGCTGCCCGGGCAGCTGGATTGCAGCGCTGGTTTGATGCCGAGAAGCCGGCTGATGTTTAAGGATGTCCCCCGCCGGCTATTTCAATTTGCTGCACGCGGCGGGCGCTTGGTCCTGACGGGGGGGGGGCCGCAGCCCTGCGGATCTGTTTTTATTTTAAAGCGCAGGAGGAAAAAGCCGAGAGAGAGAGAGAACGTGCGGCTGGATGAGAGGCAAAGCTAAGCAGGGATTTCGGCTCTCCCGGTGACACAGCTCCCGCAGTGCCGACTGCCGCCGTGTGTGCTTGTTTCGGCCCCGTGCCGCCCTCCCCAGGGGCGGTGGGAGGAGGCTGGAGCGATCCTTGTGCTCGTCCCTGCCACGGCCGGCCGGTTTCACCCGCGCTAGGCTCCTGTCCCCGCCGAAATGGCCTGACCCCCCCTTCCCCTTCGCCGGTGAGAAGCCGGGCGGTCTCAGCTGGGAGCGAGCCAGGAGAGGAGCTGTTCCCGCTTCCCGTTTCCTTACCCTCGAAGAGCTCTGGATGAAGGCCGAGGATGACGGGCCTTCCTTTAACCCGCTGCCACGCGCGGTTAAAAGCTGCCGCCCAGGTGTCCGGCGTTTTCGGCGACGGAGTTTCCCTCGCGCTCGGCGCGGTGCGGCTCAGAGAAACGCTTCGAATCAGCCGGTGAACCGCGCGGCGATGCGGAAATGGGAGTCGAGGTTGGGGTACGATCGTCCCCGTCCGTAACACCGGCGACAGCGACGTGCGTCTGCGTCTCCCCGGGGGCCCTGCCCTTGCGGCGGTGGGGGCGGGGGGGGAAGGAGCAGCAGCGAGCTCTGAGGTCCGGCCTCGGGGCAGAGGAGGTGGCGCGTGGCTCGGTACGGGAGCGAGCAGGGAAGGGGGATGCTGGTCCAGGGCGTTCCGTGTCGCCTGCTGTCCGTCGTGACAACTGCTTCGTCTCCTCTTGGCAAAATGGGTTTTATTTAAAAAACAAACACACACACACCTTTTTTTGCATAAAATTAGCTGTCTTGGGTCATTTCAGCTCTGGACCTTCTTTCTGAGAGGGACTAGGGAAGGGACTAGAGACGAGGTGGTGGGAAACGATGGGTTACGGAGCAGTCCTTCTCCTAGACCTCCCTGTGCTGAAGCATCTCCTGAGCTGGAGACTGCACCTGCGCTGTTGGCTTTAGGAGTCACAATCCCCCGCGAATTCATCGAGTGACTTTTTAAAGACGCTTTATGCTTCTGGCTTCCCGACGCCCTCCGGCCGCGGCCGACGCGTAGCGTGAGGAGAGCCCTCGGGCGGTAAAAATACACGTCGAGGTGACGAGAGTGGGGACCTGGGGAGGAGCTGTTGGGCTCCAAGGGTGAGAGACACGGTCCCGGCTCGTGTGCCGGCGCGATGGGAGAGCCCAACGGCAGATCTCGGGAGCTTACGAGTGCCCCAGCGTCCTGCCAGGGGAAAGAGATGCCGTGGAGGTTGTTTTGCCGCTGCTTCTTCACGTGAGGACGTCGGAGCCGTCTTTCCCTAACCGCGGGTTAAGGTGTGCGAGGCCCGGCCTTTCTGCGAGCTGCAGCTTGATCGTGTGGCTCTAAAGCGCTGAATTAGGGTCGGTTCTCTGGGTCTCTCTCTCTTTTTACCCACGTCAGATATAAACCCTCTGGTTTATTTAACGCAGGGAGCGGCTGCCCCTCGGGCGAAGCCGCTTTGGACAGGGCAGAGTGATGCTGCCCATTACTTAAAGAGGAGTAAATATCGTTGCGGCTGCGGGGGTTACAGGAGGGATGTTTAATTCGGCAAAGCCAAGCCCGGGGTGGTGGAGCTGAGTTATCCTGCCCGTAGCTGCCTGGTGAAGAGAGGGGAAGGCAGTTAAGTTACGTCCAGGGTTAGGGCTGTGGGACGGGCTTGCGGCCGTCGAGGGGAGGACAAGCGACCCAAGCAGAAGCGTGCACGGCTGCTGGATGGAGCAAGAGCCGGGGAAAACTTCTCAGCTTGCCTCATTCTCTCTCCTTCCTCGGAGTCCGTGCCTTGCTGATCAGGGAGCTTGCTTTGACGTCTCCTCTCCAAGTTGCCGGCGCCTGGCGTAGCCAGGAGAACACGAGAAGGGGACGGTTTGAGCCCTACCTCGCGGGTGAGGGTGACGAACTCAACACCGTTGCCTGCGGGCCCTCGGCCGCGGTGGCTGGGAGCAGCTCGGGTTTGGTGCCTCAGCTGGAAAGACGCTGACGGTGCTGAAAGTGCCGGGACGGAGGGCTGAGCCGGCAGGACGGGCCGGACGGCGGAAGGGAGGTGCCGTGCCACGACGGCCTCACCGGTGTGGCACAGGGCGCTTGGCGTTTCGGGCGCCGTAGCGTCCCCTGAGCGGGACGCGGCGCTGGGGGCCGGGGGGGGAGTTGGTGGTTCCTGGCTTGCTGTGCGTCCAGGTGGGGCGACGGACAGGGCAAAGGCACGAGCGGTGCCTCTGCCAGAAGCCTGGCCGCGCGTTTGCCGGCTCAGCCCGAGCACCCAGACGGCGCCGTAGATGGGCCAAAGCAACCCGCGCGCCGCTTCTCCTGGCGCTCTGTAGCCTTTACGTTCGGTTTTCTGCAGGGAGCTCAAAGCTTAGTACCGGTTTTGCTGCCGCACGCCTTTGCTCGCTTCTCAGCTGGAATCGCCTTTGCGTCTTTCCCTCTGTTTTGGGGGTGAAGGGGTGCTTGGGGACCGCCCGGGTGTACGGACCCGCAAACCAGCGGCTGAAAAACCTTCTAGTCCGTCCTTTCCTCCCCCCCCCCGGTGTAGGATCAAGTCTAGCGACGTCGCCCCTGGCAGACGCCCTTAGGCCAGCCGTGTACGTGCCACCCGCTTCTGGCCGCTTTCCTCTAGCGCGTCTCTTGTGAGCAGGGCTCCCGTCGGGCAGAGCCGCGGGCAGCGAGGGCTCCTGGTGGGATTTTCTTTTATTTTCCTTCTGGGAAACGCAGACCACCAGGCTGAAGGGGAGTTGGAGCGATAGGATGCTGTCGTTCGTCGTTCCTCCCTCTCTTTGCGCTTGTGGCTGGATCCCGCTTGGGGGAATGAGGTCCCCGTGCCGACCGAAAACGGTCGGGGTGGGGGTTCTCGGGACGCGGCGCGCCCGCCGAGCTCTTTCTGCGCGGGCAGGAGGCTCCGGCAGATCCCGGGGGGCTGCCCGATGCGTCCCTAAACCTCTCGCAGAAAGCGGGGAGGTGAGGCGAAGGGCTCGTGCCGCTCCGTGCCTGCGATGGCTCCGCAGCATCCCACCCACCTCCCGTCGTCTGTTCTGGTTTCCCTTCTCCCTCCCCCCTGTTGCTATTTATCCCGAACGCCGTTTTTATCTCTCTTCGTGCTCTGACTGTACGTTCGAGCTTCTGGGCAAGATGCTGGTAATTTCCATACGGCTTAGGACATAAAAAGAAACGTCCGAAAGCTTCCAGAAACGCACCAGACCCGCAGCCCCGGGAAGCGCAGCAGCGTCCCCGATGGCACGGCCTGCTGCTGAGTTTAGGGAAAAAAAATAAAATAAAATTAAAAAAAAAAACCCTTTCTAACCTGGTCGTTTTGACAGGGAAAATGCTGGAAATGAGTTAAGTGAAGGATTTTTAGGCAGCGCAGAACATCCTCCTGGTTTGGTATCGCTCTGAAGCCTGGCGGTATGGCACGAAATGAGGCGGTATGGCACGAAATGAGGCGGTATGGCACGAAATGAGGCGGTATGGCACGAAATGAGGCGGTATAGCACGAAATGAGCTCTCTGGCCCCAGCGTTTTAGTGCCTAGCTTTTGATTCGGTACCTATTCATTACCTTTAAGAAATGCCAGGCATTCACTGCTCCTCGTTTCTAATTTGCAGTTCAGACCCGACGTCTCTGAAGAGGGGACGCCTGTGAGTACTCCGCGTTTCGCAGAGCCTTTCCCAGCGGCTCCCTTGGGGTTTTTTTTTTTCCTCCCCCCCCTGCCCCGTATTGCAGTTTCTCTTCGGAAGTGGTGTTCCGTGCTGTCCCCTCCCGGCCGCGCAGCCGGACTCGCTCCGC